TGGTCCAGGAGCTTGCCTGGTCCAGGAGCTTGCCTAGTCCAGGAGCTTGCCTGGTCCAGGACCTTGCCTGGTCCAGGACCTTGCCTGGTCCAAGAGCTTGCCTGGTCCAAGAGCTTGCCTGGTCCAGGAGCTTGCCTGGTCCAAGACCTTGCCTGGTCCAAGAGCTTGCCTGGTCCAGGAGCTTGCCTGGTCCAGGAGCTTGCCTGGTCCAGGAACTTGCCTGGTCCAGGAGCGTGCCTGGTCCAGGAGCGTGCTTGGTCCAGGAGCTTGCCTGGTCCAGGAGCTTGCCTGGTCCAGGAGCTTGCCTGGTCCAGGAGCATGCCTGGTCCAGGAGCTTGCCTGGTCCAGCAGCTTGCCTGGCCCAGGAGCTTGCCTGGTGAAGGAGCTTGCTTGGTCCAGGAGCTTGCCTGGTCCAGGAGCGTGCCTGGTCCAGGAGTGTGCCTGGTCCAGGAGCTTGCCTGGTCCAGGAGCTTGCCTAGTCCTAGAGCTTGCCTGGTCCAGGAGCTTGCCTGGTTCAAGAGCTTGCCTGGTCCAAGAGCTTGCCTGGTCCAGGAGCTTGCCTGGTTCAAGAGCTTGCCTGGTCCAAGAGCTTGCCTGGTCCAGGAGCTTTCTTGGTCCAGGAGCTTGCCTGGTCCAGGAGCTTGCCTGGTCCAGGAGCTTGCCTGGTCTAGGAGCGTGCCTGGTCCACGAGCTTGCCTGGTCCAGGAGCTTGCCTGGTCCAGGAGCTTGCCTGGTCTAGGAGCTTGCCTGGTCCAGGAGCGCGCCTGGTCCAGGAGCTTGCCTGGTCCAGGAGCTTGCCTGGTCAAGGAGCTTGCCTGGTCCAGGAGCTTGCCTGGTCCAGGAGCTTGCCTGGTCCAGCAGCTTGCCTGGTCCAGGAGCTTGCCTGGTGAAGGAGCTTGCTTGGTCCAGGAGCTTGCCTGGTCCAGGAGCGTGCCTGGTCCAGGAGTGTGCCTGGTCCAGGAGCTTGCCTGGTCCAGGAGCTTGCCTAGTCCAAGAGCTTGCCTGGTCCAGGAGCTTGCCTGGTTCAAGAGCTTGCCTGGTCCAAGAGCTTGCCTGGTCCAGGAGCTTGCCTGGTTCAAGAGCTTGCCTGGTCCAAGAGCTTGCCTGGTCCAGGAGCTTTCTTGGTCCAGGAGCTTGCCTGGTCCAGGAGCTTGCCTGGTCCAGGAGCTTGCCTGGTCTAGGAGCGTGCCTGGTCCACGAGCTTGCCTGGTCCAGGAGCTTGCCTGGTCCAGGAGCTTGCCTGGTCTAGGAGCTTGCCTGGTCCAGGAGCGCGCCTGGTCCAGGAGCTTGCCTGGTCCAGGAGCTTGCCTGGTCAAGGAGCTTGCCTGGTCCAGGAGCTTGCCTGGTCCAGGAGCTTGCCTGTTCCAGGAGCGTGCCTGGTCCGGGAGCTTGCATGTTTCAGGAGCTTGCCTGGTCCAGGAGCTTGCCTGGTCCAAGAGCTTTCCTGGTCCAAGAGCTTGCCTGGTCCAAGAGCTTGCATGTTTCAGGAGCTTGCCTGGTCCAGGAGCTTGCCTGGTCCAAGAGCTTGCCTGGTCCAGGAGCGTGCCTGGTCCAAGAGCTTGCCTGGTCAAGAAGCTTGCCTCGTCCAGGAGCTTGCTTGGTCTAGGAGCTTGCCTGGTCCAGGAGCTTGCCTGGTCCAGGAGCATGCCTGGTCCAGGAGCTTGCCTGGTCCAGCTGCTTGCCTGGTCCAGGAGCTTGCCTGGTGAAGGAGCTTGCCTGGTCCAGGAGCTTGCCTGGTCCAGGAGCTTGCCTGGTCCAAGAGCTTGCCTGGTCCAGTAGCTTGCCTGGTCCAAGAGCTTTCCTGGTCCAAGAGCTTGCCTGGTCCAGGAGCTTGCCTGGTCCAAGAGCTTGCCTGGTCCAGGAGCTTGCCTGGTCCAGGAGCTTGCCTGGTCCAGGAGCTTGCCTGGTCCAGGAGCTTGCCTGGTCCAGGAGCATGCCTGGTCCAGCAGCTTGCCTGGTCCAGGAGCTTGCCTAGTCCAGGAGCTTGCCTGGTCCAGAAGCTTACCTGGTCCAGGAGCTTGCCTGGTCCAGGAGCTTGCCTGGTCCAGGAGCGTGCCTGGTCCACGAGCTTGCCTGGTCCAGGAGCTTGCCTGGTCCAGGAGCTTGTCTGGTCTAGGAGCTTGCCTGGTCCAGGAGTGTGCCTGGCCCAGGAGCTTGCCTGGTCCAGGAGCTTGCCTGGTCCAGGAGCTTGCCTGGTCTAGGAGCTTGCCTGTTCAGGAGCTTGCCTGGTCCAGGAGCTTGCCTGGTCCAGGAGCTTGCCTGGTCCAGGAGCTTGCCTTGTCCAGAAGCGTGCCTGGTCCAGGAGTGTGCCTGGTCCAGGAGCTTGCTTGGTCCAGGAGCCTGCCTTGTCCAAGAGCTTGCCTGGTCCAAAAGCATGCCTGGTCCAAGAGCATGCCTGGTCCAAGAGCTTGCCTGGTCCAAGAGCATGCATGGTCCAAGAGCTTGCCTGGTCCAGGAGCTTGCCTCGTCAAGGCGCTTGCCTGGTCCAGGAGCTGGCCTGGTCCAGGAGCGTGCCTGGTCCAGGAGTGTGCCTGGTCCAGGAGCGTGCCTAGTCCAGGAGCTTGCCTGGTCTAGGAGCTTGCCTGGTCCAGGAGCTTGCCTGGTCCAGGAGCTTGCCTGGTCCAGGAGCTTGCCTTCTCCAGCAGCTTGCCTAGTCCAGGAGCGTGCGAGGTCCAGAAGCTTGCCTGGTCCAGGAGCTTGACTGGTCCAAGAGCTTGCCTACTCCAGGAGCTTGCCTGGTCCAGGAGCTTGCCTGGTCCAGGAGCGTGCCTGGTCCAGGAGCTTGCCTAGTCCAGGAGCTTGCCTGGTCCAGGAGCTTGCCTGGTCCAGGAGCTTGCCTTGTCCAGGTGCTTGCCTGGTCCAAGAGCTTGCCTGGTCCAAGAGCTTGCCTGGTCTAGGAGCTTGCCTGGTCCAAGAGCTTGCCTGGTCCAGGAGCTTGCCTGGTCCAGAAGCTTGCCTGGTCCTGGAGCTTGCCTGGTCCAGGAGCGTGCCTGGTCCAGGAGCGTGCCTGGTCCAGGAGCTTGCCTGGTCCAGGAGCTTGCCTGGTCCAGGAGCTTGCCTGGTACAGCAGCTTGCCTGATCAAGGAGCTTGCCTGGTCCAGGAGCTTGCCTGGTCTAGGAGCTTGCCAGGTCCAAGAGCCTGCCTGGTCCAGGAGCGTGCCTTGTCCAGGAGCGTGCCTGGTCCAGGAGCTTGCCTGGTCCAGGAGCGTGCATGGTCCAGGAGCTTGCCTGGTCCAGCAGCTTACCTGGTCGAGGAGCTTGCCTGGTGAAGGAGCTTGCCTGGTCCAGGAGCTTGCCTGGTCCAGGAGTGTGCCTGGTCCAAGAGCTTGCCTGGTCCAGGAGCTTGCCTAGTCCAGGAGCTTGCCTGGTCCAAGAGCTTGCCTGGTGCAAGAGCTTGCCTGGTCCAGGAGCTTGCCTGGTCCAGGAGCTTGCCTGGTCCAGGAGCTTGCCTGGTCCAGGAGCTTGCCTGATCCAGGACCTTGCCTGGTCCAAGAGCTTGCCTGGTCCAAGAGCTTGCCTGGTCCAGGAGCTTGCCTGGTCCAAGAGCTTGCCTGGTCCAAGAGCTTGCCTGGTCAAGGAGCTTGCCTGGTCCAGGAGCTTGCCTGGTCCAGGAGCGTGCCTGGTCCACGAGCTTGCCTGGTCCAGGAGCTTGCCTGGTCCAGGAGCTTGCCTGGTCTAGGAGCTTGCCTGGTCCAGGAGCGTGCCTACTCCAGGAGCTTGCCTGGTCGAGGAGCTTGCCTGGTCCAGGAGCGTGCCTGGTCCAGGAGCTTGCCTGGTCCAGGAGCTTGCCTGGTCCAGGAGCTTGCCTGGTCCAGGAGCTTGCCTGGTCCAGGAGCTTGCCTGATCCAGGACCTTGCCTGGTCCAAGAGCTTGCCTGGTCCAAGAGCTTGCCTGGTCCAGGAGCTTGCCTGGTCCAAGAGCTTGCCTGGTCCAAGAGCTTGCCTGGTCAAGGAGCTTGCCTGATCCAGGAGCTTGCCTGGTCCAGGAGCGTGCCTGGTCCACGAGCTTGCCTGGTCCAGGAGCTTGCCTGGTCCAGGAGCTTGCCTGGTCTAGGAGCTTGCCTGGTCCAGGAGCGTGCCTACTCCAGGAGCTTGCCTGGTCCAGAAGCTTGCCTGGTCGAGGAGCTTGCCTGTTCCAGGAGCGTGCCTGGTCCAGGAGCTTGCCAGGTCCAGGAGCTTGCTTGGTCCAGGAGCTTTCCTGGTCCAGGAGCTTGCCTGGTCCAGGAGCTTTCCTGGTCCAAGAGCTTGCCTGGTCCAGGAGCTTGCCTGGTCCAGGAGCTTGCATGTTCCAGGAGCTTGCCTGGTCCAGGAGCGTGCCTGGTCCAAGAGCTTGCCTGGTCCAGAAGCTTGCCTGGTCCAGGAGCTTGCCTGGTCCAGGAGCTTGCCTGGTCCAGGAGCTTGCCTGGTCCAGGAGCATGCCTGGTCCAGGAGCTTGCCTGGTCCAGCTGCTTGCCTGGTCCAGGAGCTTGCCTGGTCCAGGAGCTTGCCTGGTCCAGGAGCTTGCCTGGTGGCCGACTCCTTGGTTGCCTATGGAGAGGGGAATTGTGTGGCATGGGGTTTCCTTGGTTGGGGACTCTCTTGGGACCTTCCCTCTCGTCCTCCTCATCCCATCCCACCTGGTTAATTGCTACTCTAACTCTCTTGTGTCGTAATTGTAAAATTGTGAGACTCTCATCATTGATTTAAGTTCTCCCGGCAGCATACCCCCCTGTGCGCCGAAATTGATAAGTCGAGATTTACTTCACCTCTTGATACGATTCAAATTGGGAATTGTAGCCACGGAATAGGGCTACAACATATCTGAGTTTGGTGTCGTCGACGGCGTTTCTTGTGAACTCGACGTTTCTGTCCAGAAATTGAGACCAACGATTTTTGTGATATTTCGGCTCCTAATCTTCATAGACTCCGTCCTTCGTCTCTAACAGACGTTTGTGGGGTGAAGGTTGGGAGAAGGTGCATGTGAAGTGGAGACGTTTAGGGGGGGAGACGTTTGGTGGGCGCATGTTGGGAGAATGTGCGTGTGAAGGGGAGACGTTTAAGGGGGAGACGGTTGTGGGGCGCAGGTTGGGAGAAGGTGCGTGTGAAGGGGAGACGTTTAGGGGGGAGACGTTTGTGGGGCGCAGGTTGGGAGAAGGTGCGTGTGAAGGGGAGACGTTTAGGGCGGAGACGTTTGTGGGGCGCAAGTTGGGAGATGGTGCGTGTGAAGGGGAGACGTTTAGGGGGGAGACGTTTGTGGGGCGCAGGTTCAGAGAAGGTGCGCGTCAAGGGGAGTCGTTTAGGGGGGAGACGTTGGTGGCGCGCAGGTTCGGAGAAGGTGCGTGTGAAGGGGAGATGTTTAGGGGGAGACGTTTGTGGGGCGCAGGTTCGGAGAAGGTACGTGTGAAGGGGAGACATTTAGGGGGAGACATTTGTGGGGCGCAGCTTCGGAGAAAGAACGTGTGAACGGGAGACGTTTAGGGGGGAGACGTTTGTGGGGCGCAGGTTGGGAGAAGGTGTATGTGAAGGGAAGACTTTCAGGGGGGGAGATGTTTGAGGGGCGCAGGTTGGGAGAAGGTGCGTGTGAAAGGGAGACGTTCAGGGGGGAGACGTTTGTGGGGCGCAGGTTCGGAGAAGGTGCGTGTGAAGGTGAGACATTCAGGGGGGATACGTTTGTGGGGCGCAGGTTCGGAGAAGGTGCGTGTGAAGGTGAGACATTTAGGGGGGAGACGTTTGTGGGGCGCAGGTTGGGGGAAGGTGCGTGTGAAGGGGAGACGTTTGTGGGGCGCAAGTTGGGAGTAGGTGCGTGTGAAGGGGAGACGTTTAGGGGGGAGACGTTTGTGGGGCGCAGGTTGGGAGAAGGTACGTGTGAAGGGGAGACGTTTAGGGGGGAGACGTTTGTGGGGTGCAGGTTGGGAGAAGGTGCATGTGAAGTGGAGACGTTTAGGGGGGGAGACGTTTGGTGGGCGCATGTTGGGAGAATGTGCATGTGAAGGGGAGACGTTTAAGGGGGAGACGTTTGTGGGGCGCAGGTTGGGAGAAGGTGCGAGTGAAGGGGAGACGTTTAGGGAGGAGACGTTTGTGGGGCGCAGGTTGGGAGAAGGTGCGTGTGAAGGGGAGACGTTTAGGGCGGAGACGTTTGTGGGGCGCAAGTTGGGAGAATTTGCGTGTGAAGGGGAGACGTTTAGGAGGGAGACGTTTGTCGGGCGCAGGTTCGGAGAAGGTGCGTGTGAAGGGGAGATGTTTAGGGGGGAGACGTTTGTGGGGCGCAGGTTCGGAGAAGGTGCGTGTGAAGAGGAGACGTTTAGGAGGGAGACGTTTGTGGGGCGCAGGTTCGGAGAAGGTGCGTGTGAAGGGGAGACATTTAGGGGGGAGATGTTTGTGGGGCGCAAGTTCGGTGAAGGTGCGTGTGAAGGGGAGACGTTTAGGGGCGAGACGTTTGTGGGGCGCAGGTTCGGACAAGGTGCGAGTGAATGGGAGACGTTTAGGGGGGAGACGTTTGTGGGGCGCAGGTTCGGAGAAGGTGCGTGTGAAAGGGAGACTTTTAAGAGGGAGACGTTTGTGGAGCGCAGGTTCGGAGAAGGTGCGTGTGAAGGGGAGACGTTTAGGGGGGAGACGTTTGTGGGGCGCAGGTTGGGGGAAGGTGCGTGTGAATGGGAGACGTTCAGGAGGGAGACATTTGTGGGGCGCAGGTTCGGAGAATGTGCGTGTGAAGGGGAGACATTCAGGGGGGAGAAGTTTCCGGCGCGCAGGTTCGGAGAAGGTGCATGGGGCGCAGGTTGGGAGAAGGTGCGTGTTAAGGGGAGACGTTTGTGGCGCGCAGGTTCGGAGAAGGTGCGTGTGAATGGGAGACGTTTAGGGGGGAGACGTTTGAGGGGCTCAGGTTCGGAGAAGGTACGTATGAAGGGGAGACGTTTAGGGGGAGACGTTTGTGGGGCGCAAGTTCGGAAAAGGTGCGTGTGAAGGGGAGACGTTTAGGGGGGAGACGTTTGTGGGGCGCATGTTCGGAGAAGGTGCGTGTGAAGGGGAGACGTTTAGGGGGGAGACGTTTGTGGGGCGCAGGTTCTGACAAGGTGCGTATGAAGGGGAGACGTTTAGGGGGGAGACGTTTGTGGGGCGCAGGTTCGGACAAGGTGTGTGTGAAGGGGAGACGTTTAGGGGGGAGACGTTTGTGGGGCGCAGGTTGGGAGAAGGTGCGTGTGAAGGGGAGACGATTGTGGGGCGCAAGTTGGGAGAAGGTGCGTGTGAAGGGGAGACGTTTAGGCTGGAGACGTTTGTGGGGCACAGGTTGGGAGAAGGTGCATGTGAAGGGGAGACGTTTAGGGGGGAGACGTTTGGGGGGCGCAGGATGGGAGAAGGTGCGTGTGAAGGGGAGACGTTTAGGGGGGAGACGTTTGGGGGGCGCATGTTGAGAGAAGGTGCGTGTGAAGGGGAGACGTTTAGGGGGGAGGTGCGTGTGAAGGGGAGACGTTTAGGGGAGAGATGTTTGTGGGGCGCAGGTTGGGAGAAGGTGCGTGTGAAGGGGAAACGTTTGTGGGGCGCAAGTTGGGAGAAGGTGCGTGTGAAGGGGGGACTTTCAGGGGGGAGACGTTGGTGGGGCGTTGGTTGGCAGAAGGTGCGTGTGAAAGGGAGACGTTCAGGGGCGAGACGTTTGTGGGGCGCAGGTTTGGAGAATATGCGTGTGAAGGGGAGACGTTTAGGGGGGAGACGCTTGTGGGGCGCAGGTTTGGAGAAGGTGCGTGTGAAGGTGAGACTTTAGGGGGGGGACGTTTGTGGGGCGCAGGTTGGGGGAAGGTGCGTTTGAAGGGGAGACGTTTGTGGGGCGCAAGTTGGGAGAAGGTGTGTGTGAAGGGGAGACGTTTAGGGGGGAGACGTTTGTGGGGCGCAGGTTGGGCGAAGGTACGTGTGAAGGGGAGACGTTTAGGGGGGAGACGTTTGTGGGGCGCAGGTTGGGAGAAGGTGCCTGTAAAAGGGAGACGTTTAGTGGGGAGACGTTTGGTGGGCGCATGTTGGGAGAAGGTGCGTGTGAACGGGAGACGTTTAGGGGGGAGACGTTTGGGGGGCGCATGTTGGGAGAAGGTGCGTGTGAAGGGGAGACGTTTAGGGGGGAGACGTTTGTGGGGCGCAGGTTGGGAGAAGGTGGGTGTGAAGGGGAGACGTTTAGGGGGGGAGACGTTTGTGGGGCGCATGTTAGGAGAAGGAGCGTGTGAAGGGGAGACGTTTAGGGGGGAGACGTTTGTGGGGAGCAGGTTGGGAGAAGGTGCGTGTGAAGGGGAGACGTTTGTGGGGCGCATGTGGGAGAAGGGGCGTATGAAGGGGAGACGTTAATGAGGGAGACGTTTGTGGGGCGCAGTTTGGGAGAAGGGGCGTGTGAAGGGGAGACGTTTACGGGGAAGACGTTTGTGGGGCGCAGGTTGGGAGAAGGTGCGTGTGAAGGGGAGACGTTTGTGGGACGCAAGTTGGGAGAAGGTGCGTGTGAAGGGGTGACCTTGAGGGGGGAGACGTTTGTGGGGCGCTGGTTGGCAGAAGGTGCGTGTGAAAGTGAGACGTTCAGGGGCGAGACGTTTGTGGGGCGCAGGTTTGGAGAATATGCGTGTGAAGGGGAGACGTTTAGGGGGGAGACGCTTGTGGGGCGCAGGTTTGGAGAAGGTGCGTGTGAAGGTGAGACTTTAGGGGGGGGACGTTTTTGTGGCGCAGGTTGGGGGAAGATGCGTTTGAAGGGGAGACGTTTGTGGGGCGCAAGTTGGGAGAAGGTGTGTGTGAAGGGGAGACGTTTAGGGGGGAGACGTTTGTGGGGCGCAGGTTGGGCGAAGGTACGTGTGAAGGGGAGACGTTTAGGGGGGAGACGTTTGTGGGGCGCAGGTTGGGAGAAGGTGCCTATGAAGGAAAGACGTTTAGGGGGGAGACGTTTGGTGGGCGCAGGTTGGGAGAAGGTGCATGTGAAGGGGAGACGTTTAGGGGGGGAGACGTTTGGAGGGCGCATGTTGGGAGAAGGTGCGTGTGAAGGGGAGACGTTTAGGGGGGAGACGTTTGCGGGGCGCAGGTTGGGAGAAGGTGCGTGTGAAGGGGAGACGTTTAGGGGGGGAGACGTTTGTGGGGCGCAGGTTAGGAGAAGGAGCGTGTGAAGGGGAGACGTTTAGGGGGGTTACGTTTGTGGGGCGCAGGTTGGGAGAAGGTGCGTGTGAAGGGGAGATGTTGTGGGGCGCATGTTGGGAGAAGAGGCGTATGAAGGGGAGACGTTTATGAGGGAGACGTTTGTGGAGCGCAGGTTGGGAGAAGGGGCGTGTGAAGGGGAGACGTTTACGGGGAAGACGTTTGTGGGGCGCAGGTTGGGAGAAAGTGCGTGTGAAGGGGAAACGTTTAGGGGGGAGACGTTTGTGGGGCGCAGGTTGAGAGAAGGTGCGTGTGAAGGGGAGACGTTTGTGGGGCGCATGTTGGGAGAAGGTGCGTATAAAGGGGAGACGTATAGGGGGAAGACGTTTGTGGGGCGCAGGTTGGGAGAAGGTGCGTGTGAAGGGGAGAAATTTTTTGGGGAGACGTTTATGGGGCGCAGGTTGGGAGAAGTTGCGTGTGAAGGGGAGACGTTTAGGGGGGAGACGTTTGTAGGGCTCAGGTTCGGAGAAGGTGCGTGTGAAGGGGAGACATTTAGGGGGGAGACGTTTGTGGGGCGCAGGTTCGGAGAAGGTGGCGCGCAGGTTCGGAGAAGGTGTGTGTGAAGGGGAGACGTTTAGGGGGGAGACGTTTGTGGCGCGCAGGTTCGGAGAAGGTGCGTGTGAAGGGGAGACGTTTAGGGGGGAGACGTTTGTGACGCAGAGGTTCGGAGAAGGTGCGTGTGAAGGGGAGACGTTTAGGGGTGAGACGTTTGTGGGGCGCAGGTTAGGAGAAGGTGCGTGTGAAGGGGAGACGTTTAGGGGGTAGACGTTTGTGGGGCGCAGGTTGGGAGAAGGTGCGTGTGAAGGGGAGACGTTTAGGGGGGAGACGTTTCTGGGGCGCAGGTTGGGAGAAGGTGCGTGTGAAGGGGAGACGTTTAGGGGGGTGGCGTTTGGGGGGCGCAGGTTGGGAGAAGGTGCGTGTGAAGGGGAGACGTTTAGGGGGGAGACGTTTGGGGGGCGCATGTTGGGAGAAGGTGCGTGTGAAGGGGAGAGGTTTAAGGGTGAGATGTGTGTGGGGCGCAGGTTGGGAGAAGGAGCGTGTGAATGGGAGACGTTTAGGGGGGAGACGTTTGGGGGGCGCATGTTGGGAGAAGGTGCGTGTGAAGGGGAGACGTTTAGGGGGGAGACGTTTGTGGGGCGCAGGTTGGGAGAAGGTGCGTGTGAAGGGGAGACGTTTAGGGGGGTGATGTTTGTGGGGCGCAGGTTGGGAGAAGGTGCGTGTGAATGGGAGATGTTTAGGGGGGAGACTTTTGTGGGGCGCAGGTTGGGAGAAGGTGCGTGTGAAGGGGAGACGTTTAGGGGGGAGACTTTTCTGGGGCGCAGGTTCGGAGAAGGTGCGTGTGAAGGGGAGACGTTTAGGGGGGAGACATTTGTGGGGCGCAGGTTGGGAGAAGGTGCGTGTGAAGGGGAGACGTTTAGGGGGGAGACGTTTTTGGGGCGCATGTTGGGAGAAGGTGCGTGTCAAGGGGAGACGTTTAGGGGGGAGACGTTTAGGAGGCGCAGGTTGGGAGCGGTTAGTACCACTCTCTTGTTAGTCCACTAGATTAGGCCATCTACTTTAACAACACTAGGTTCTAACCTTTTAGATCCACATAACTCGCAATATTTCAAAGCTCCAGCTCCGCCTTGTACCTGCACACAAACGTGCATACTACCCGAACCGACCCACGCATCATTCTCTCTGTACAAATACAGTGAATACCACATATGTTTCGCATTTCCTTTACAGTATACCATTCCACACCCCTCTAAAAGGCTCTAACCTTTTGGATCTATGTAATTCGCCAAAAGTAGGCATTCTAGTCGTGCATGGTACCTGCACTACAGGCGCGCATACCGACCAACTTGACCAGCGCATTACGTATGTTTGTAGAGATCCGGTTAGTACCATTTTCTTGTCAGTCCACTAAATTAGGCCATCTACTTTAACAACACTAGGTTCTAACATTTTAGATCCACACAAGCGTGCATAGTGACCAAACTGACCCACGCATCATTCTCTTTGTATAGATACAATGAATACCACATATGTTTCGCATTTCCTTTACATACCATTCCCCACCCCTCTAACAGGTTCTAACCTTTTGGATCTATCTAATTTCCCAAAAATAGGCATTTCAGTCGTGCATGGTACCTACACTACAGGCGCGCATACCGACCAACTTGACCAGCACAATACGTATGTTTGTAGAGATGTTGTTAGTACCATTTTCTTGTCAGTCAACTAGATTCTAACCTTTCAGATCCACAAAATTTGCAAGATTTCAGAGCGTGCATACGACCCGAACCGGCTCACGCATCATTTTCTCTGTATAAGTAGAGTGAATGCCACATAAGGTTTCGCTTTTCCTTTACATTTTACCATTATCCACCCCTCTACCAGGTTCTAACCTTTTGGATCTATGTAATTCCCTATTCTCCCTCTTTCCATCCCCCTGTCCAATTCTCCCTCTTTCCATCACCCCGCCCCATTCTCCCTCTTTCCATCATCCAGCCATCTCCCTCTTTCCATCACCCTGCCCCATTCTCCCTCTTTCCATCACCCAGCCCCATTCTCCCGCTTTCCATCACCCCGCCCCATTCTTCCGCTGTCCATCACCCTGCCCCATTCTCCCGCTTTTTATCACCCAGCCTCATTCTCCCTCTTTCCATCACCCAACCCCATTCTCCCTCTTTCCACCCCGCCCCATTCTCCCGCTTTCCATCTCCCCGCCCCATTCTCCCTCATTCCATCACCTCGCCCCATTCTTCTGCTTTCCATCACTCCGCCCCGTCCCTCTTTCCATCACACCGCCCCATCCATCACCCCGCACCATTCTCCCTCTTGCCATCACTCCGCCCCATTCTCCCTCTTTCCATCACCCCGACCCATTCTCCCTCTTTCCATCACCCCGCCCCATTCTCCCGCTTTCCATCACCCCGCCCCATTTTCCCGCTTTCCATCACCCGGTCCCATTCTCCATCTTTCCATCACCCCGCCCTATTCTCCCTCTTTCCATTTATCACCCAGCCCATTTCTCCCTCTTTCCATCACCCCGCCTCATTCTCCCTCTTTCCATCACCCCGCCCTATTTTCCCTCTTTCCATCACCCCGCCCCATTCTCCCGCTTTCCATCACCCCGCCCCATTCTCCCCCTTTCCATCACCCCGCCCCGTTCTCCCGCTTTCCATCACCCCGCCCCGTTCTCCCGCTTTCCATCACCCCGACCCGTTCTCCCGCTTTCCATCACCCCGCCCCGTTCTCCCGCTTTCCATCACCCTGCCCCGTTCTCCCGCTTTCCATCACCCCGCCGCGATCTCCCGCTTTCCATCACCCCGCCCCATTCTCCCTCTTTACATCACCCCGCCCCACTCTCCCTCTTTCTATCACCCAGCCCCATTCTCCCGCTTTCCATCACGCCGCCCCATTCTCCCTCTTTCCATCACCCCGCCCCATTCTCCCTCCTTCCATCACCCGCCCCATTCTCCCGCTTTCCATCACCCCGGCCCATTCTCCCGCTTTCCATCACCCCGCCCTATTCTCTCGCTTCCCATCACCCCGCCCCATTCTCCCTCTTTCCCTCACCCAGCCCATTTCTCCCTCTTTCCATCACTCTGCCCATTTCTCCCTCTTTCCATCACCCCGCCCCATTCTCCCTCTTTCCATCACCCCGCCCCATTCTCCCTCTTTCCATCACCTCGCCCCATTCTTCCGCTTTCCATCGCCCCGCCCTATTCTTCCGCTTTCCATCACCCCGCCCAATTCTCCCTCTAATCATCACCCCGCCCCATTCTCCCGATTTCCATCACCCCGCCCCATTCTCCCGCTTTCCATCGCCCCGCCCCATTCTCCCGCTTTCCATCGTCCCGCCCCATTCTCCCACTTTCCATCACCCCGCCCCATTCTCCCTCTTTCCATCACCCTGCCCCATTCTCCCTCCTTCTATCGCCCCACCCCATTCTCCCTCTTTCCATCGCCCCGCCCCATTCTCCCTCTTTCCATCGCCCCGCCCCATTCTCCCTTTTTCCATCGCCCCGCCCCATTCTCCAGCTTTCCGTCACCCTGCCCCATTGTCCATCTTTCAATCGCCCCGCCCCGTTCTCCCGCTTTCCATTGCCCCGCCCCGTTCTCCCGCTTTCCATCACCCGCCCCATTCTCCCAATTTCCATCACCCCGCCCCATTCTCCCGCTTTCAATCACCCCGCCCCATTCTCCCGTTTTCAATCACCCCGCCCCATTCTCCCGCTTTCCATCACCCCGCCCCATTCTCCCGCTTTCAATCACCCTGCCCCATTCTCCCACTTTGCATCGCCCCGCCCTATTCTCCCGCTTTCCATCGCCCCGCCCCAATCTCCCGCTTTCCATCACCCCGCCCCATTCTCCCTCTTTCCATCACCCCGCCCCATTCTGCCTCTTCCCATCGCCCCGCCCCATTCTCCCTCTTTCCATCACCCCGCCCCATTCTCCCACTTTCCATCACCCCGCCTCATTCTCCCTCTTTCCATCGCCTCACCCCATTCTCCCGCTTTCCCTCGCCCCGCTCCATTCTCCCTCTTTCCATCACCCAGCCCCATTCTCCCTCTTTCCATCACCTTGCCCCATTCTCCCTCTTTCCATCACCCTTCCCCATTCTCCCTCTTTCCATCACCCCGCCCCATTCTCCCTCTTTCCATCACCCCGCCCCATTCTCCCGCTTTCCATCACCCCGCCCCATTCTCCCGCTTTCCATCACCCCGCCTCATTCTCCCTCTTTCCATCGCCCCGCCCCATTCTCCCTCTTTCCATCGCCCCGCCCTATTTTCCCGCTTTCCATCTCCCCGCCCCATTCTCCCGCTTTCCATCACCCCGCCCCATTCTCCCGCTTTCCATCACCTCGCCCCATTCTCCCGCTTTCAATCACCCCACCCCTTTCTCCCGCTTTCCATCACCCCGCTTCATTCTCCCGCTTTCCATCACCCCACCCCATTCTCCCGCTTTCCATCGCCCCTCCCCAGTCTCCCGCTTTCCATCGCCCCGCCCCAATCTCCCGCTTTCCATCACCCCGCCCCATTCTCCCTCTTTCCATCACCCCGCCCCATTCAGCCTCTTCCCATCGCCCCGCCCCATTCTCCCTCTTTCCATCACCCCGCCCATTCTCCCGCTTTCCATCACCCCGCCTCATTCTCCCTCTTTCCATCGCCCCACCCCATTCTCCTGCTTTCCTTCGCCCCGCCCCATTCCCCGTCTTTCCATCACCCAGCCCCATTCTCCCTCTTTCCATCACCCAGCCCCATTCTCCCTCTTTCCATCACCCCGCCCCATTCTCCCTCTTTCCATCACCCCGCCCCATTCTCCCTCTTTCCATCACCCCGCCCCATTCTCTCGATTTCCACCACCCCGCCCCATTCTCCCTCTTTCCATCGCCGCGCCCCATTCTCCCGCTTTCCATCACCCCGCCTCATTCTCCCTCTTTCCATCGCCCCGCCCCATTCTCCCTCTTTCCATCGCCCCGCCCTATTTTCCCGCTTTCCATCTCCCCGCCCCATTCTCCCGCTTTCCATCACCCCGCCCCATTCTCCCGCTTTCCATCACCTCGCCCCATTCTCCCGCTTTCAATCACCCCACCCCTTTCTCCCGCTTTCCATCACCCCGCTTCATTCTCCCGCTTTCCATCACCCCACCCCATTCTCCCGCTTTCCATCGCCCCTCCCCAGTCTCCCGCTTTCCATCGCCCCGCCCCAATCTCCCGCTTTCCATCACCCCGCCCCATTCTCCCTCTTTCCATCACCCCGCCCCATTCAGCCTCTTCCCATCGCCCCGCCCCATTCTCCCTCTTTCCATCACCCCGCCCATTCTCCCGCTTTCCATCACCCCGCCTCATTCTCCCTCTTTCGATCGCCCCACCCCATTCTCCTGCTTTCCTTCGCCCCGCCCCATTCCCCGTCTTTCCATCACCCAGCCCCATTCTCCCTCTTTCCATCACCCAGCCCCATTCTCCCTCTTTCCATCACCCCGCCCCATTCTCCCTCTTTCCATCACCCCGCCCCATTCTCCCTCTTTCCATCACCCCGCCCCATTCTCTCGATTTCCACCACCCCGCCCCATTCTCCCTCTTTCCATCGCCGCGCCCCATTCTCCCTCTTTCCAGCACCCCGCCCCATTCTCCCGCTTTCCATCACCCCGCCCCATTCCCCCTCTTTCCATCGCCCCGCCCCATTCTCCCTCTTTCCATCACCCAGCCCCATTCTCCCTCTTTCCATCACCCAACCCCATTCTCCCTCTTTCCATCACCCCGCCCCATTCTCCCTCTTTCCATCACCCCGCCCCATTCTCCCTCTTTCCATCACCCCGCCCCATTCTCCCTCTTTCCATCACCCCGCCCCATTCTCCCGATTTCCACCACCCCGCCCCATTCTCCCTCTTTCCATCGCCGCGCCCCATTCTCCCTCTTTCCATCACCCCGCCCCATTCTCCCGCTTTCCATCACCCCGCCCCATTCCCCCTCTTTCCATCGCCCCGCCCCATTCTCCCTCTTTCCATCACCCAGCCCCATTCTCCCTCTTTCCATCACCCAACCCCATTCTCCCTCTTTCCATCACCCCGCCCCATTCTCCCTCTTTCCATCACCCCGCCCCATTCTCCCTCTTTCCATCACCCCGCCCCATTCTCCCTCTTTCCATCACCCCGCCCCATTCTCTCGCTTTCCATCGCCCCGTCCCATTCTCCCTCTTTCCATTGCCCCGCCCCATTCTCCCGCTTTCCATCATCCCGCCCCATTCTCTATCTTTCCATCACCCCGCCCCGTTCTCCCTCTTTCCATTACCCCGCCCCGTTCTCCCGCTTTCCATCACCCCGCCCCATTCTCCCGCTTTCCATCACCCTGCCCCATTCTCCCTCTTTCCATCACCCAGCCCCATTCCCCTTCTTTCAAACACCCCGCCCCATTAACCCTATTTCCATCACCCAGCCCCATTCTCCCTCTTTCCATCACCCCACCCCATTCTCCCTCTTTCCATCACCCCGCCCCATTCTCCCTCTTTCCATCACCCCGCCCCATTCTCCCTCTTTCTATCACCCAGCCCTATTCTCCCGCTTTCCATCACCCCGCCCCATTCTCCCGCTTTCCAAACGTCTCCCCCCTAAACGTCTCCCCTTCACAAGCACCTTCTCCCAACCTGCGACCCCCAAACGTCTCCCCCCTAAACGTCTCCCTTTCACACGCACCTTCTCCAAACCTGCGACCCACAAACGTCTCCGCCCTAAACGTCTCCCCTTCACACGCATCTTCTCCAAACCTGCGCCCCACAAACGTCTCCCCCCTAAACGTCTCCCGTTCACACGCACCTTCTCCCAACCTGCGCCCCACAAACGTCTCCCCCCTAAACGTCTCCCCTTTACACGCACCTTCTCCCAACCTGCGCCCCACAAAAGTCTCCCCCCTAAACGACTCCCCTTCACACGCATCTTCTCCCAACTTGCGCCCCACAAACGTCTCCCCTTCACACGCACCTTCTCCCAAATTGCGCACCACAAACGTCTCCCCCCTAAACGTCTCCCCTTCACACGCACCTTCTCCGCACCTGCGCCCCATAAACGTCTCCCCTTCATACACACCTTCTCCCAACCGGCGCCCCACAAACGTCTCCCCCCTAAACGTCTCCCCTTCACACGCACCTTCTCCCTACCTGTGACCCACAAACGTCTCCCCCCTAAACGTCTCCCCTTCACACGCACCTTCTCCCAACCTGCGCGCCACAAACGTCTCCCCCCTAAACGTCTCCTCTTCACACGCACCTTCTCCCAACCTGCGCCCCACAAACGTCTCCCCCCTAAACGTCTCCTGTTCACACGCACCTTCTCCCAACCTGCGACCCCCAAACGTCTCCCCCCTAAACGTCTCCCCTTCACACGCATTTTCTCCGCACCAGCGCCCCATAAACGTCTCCCCCCTAAACGTCACCCCTTCATACGCACCTTCTCCCAACCTGCGCCCTACAAACGTCCCCCCCCTAAACGTCTCCCCTTCACACGCACCTTCTCCGCACCTGCGCCCCATAAACGTCTCCCCCCTAAACGTCTCCCCTTCACACGCATTTTCTCCGCACCTGCGCCTCATAAACGTCTCCCCCCTAAACGTCTCCCCTTCATACACACCTTCTCCCAACCTGCGCCCCACAAACGTCTCCCCCCTAAACGTCTCCCCTTCACACGCACCTTCTTCCAACCTGCGCCCCACAAACGTCTCCCCCCTAAACGTCTCCCCTTCACACGCACCTTCTCCCTACCTGCAACCCACAAACGTCTCCCCCCTAAACGTCTCCTCTTCACACGCACCTTCTCCCAACCTGCGCCCCACAAACGTGTCCCCCCTAAACGTCTCCCGTTCACACGCACCTTCTCCCAACTTGTGCCCCACAAACGTCTCCCCTTCACACGCACCTTCTCCCAACCTGCGCCCCACAAACGTCTCCCCCCCTAAACATCTCCCCTTCACACGCACCTTTTCCGAACCTGCGGCCCAAAAACGTCTCCCCCCTAAACGTCTCCCCTTCACTCGCACCTTCTCCGAACCTGCGCCCCCCAAACGTCTCCCCCCTAAACGTCTCCCCTTCACACGAACCTTCTCCCAACCTGCGCCCCGCGCACCTTCTCCGAACTTGCGCCCCACAAACGTCTTCCCCCCTAAACGTCTCCCCTTCATACGCACCTTTATCCAACCTGCACCCCACAAACGTCTCCCCCCTAAACGTCTCCCCTTCAAACGCACCTTCTCCCAACCTGCGCCCTACAAACGTCTCCCCCCTAAACGTCTCCCCTTCACACGCACCTTCTCCGAACCTGCGCCCCACAAACGTCACCTCCCTAAACGTCTCCCCTTCATACGCAGCTTCTCCCAACCTGCGACCCCCAAACGTCTCCCCCCTAAACGTCTCCCTTTCACACACACTTTCTCCCAACATGCGCTCCACAAACGCCTCCCCCCTAAACGTCTCCCCTTCACACGCACCTTCTCCCAACCTGGGCTCCACCAACGTTTCCCCCCTAAACGTCTCCCCTTCACACGCATCTTCTACGAACATGCGCGCCACAAAGGTCTCCCCCCTAAACGACTCCCCTTCACACGCACCTTCTCCGAACCTGCGCGCCAAAAACGTCTCCCCCCCAAACGTCTCCCCTTCACATGCACCTTCTCCCAAAGTGCGCCCCACAACCGTCTCCCCCCTAAACGTCTCCCCTTCACACGCACCGTCTCCCAACCTGCGCCCCTCAAACGTCTCCCCCCTAAACGTCTCCCCTTCGCTCGCACCTTCTCCCAACCTGTGCCCTACAAACGACTCCCCCCTAAACGTATCCCCTTCACACGCACCTTCTCCCAACATGCGCCCCCCAAACGTCTCCCCCCTAAACTTCTCCCCTTCACACGCACCTTCTCCCCTTCACACGCACCCTCTCCCGGCATCTCCACCGGAGAGAAGAACGCGAAGGCACACTCCTCGCAGTCACTCTCCTCGTCGTCTCCGACCATCATTGCCGCTCCGGCCAGGGCTGTCTTGCCCTGCTTTCCCGGCGCATCATAGGTCAGCCTATTAGGGGGTTGAACTCTCCTCTTCCCCCTTCCTTCCTCCTCAGCTGCAGGGACTTGAAGGCCTTGGCGTTCCTGCGGTGTGGCTCGAATCCGTGGAGCACTCGTAGTACGGGAAGGGAGTGACGGTGCACTCTCGCTCACTTGCTGCACCTCCTCCTCTTCTTCCTCTGCATCATTGGCCTCCTCTCCCCCATTCACAAGGGAGGATTGCCTTGTGGTTGTGCTGCCGCTGCTCAGCTCCAAAGGCAGCTCCACATGCTCCAAACCGGAACTCTTCACCTCCCCAAACCGCACGCCTATCTTCGCCTCATTCTCCGCCTTCCAATCCTTGTACATGAAGTTCTCCATGAACTTGCAGTCCCTGCTCACCAAGAACTTCTTGGTGAATGGGTCCCAAAGAAGCCATCCCTTGCTGTTTTGAGCCATGCCCAAGTGCACGGCCCACACCGCCTTGGCACCAAGCTTGTTGTGCCGAAGATGCTTAGGCACGAGCGCCATGCACATGCACCCGAACACCCGAAGCATATCCACCTTTGGCTTCCTTCCTAGCCACTCCACATAGGGCACCCATTTGTCTGCTCCCACATGAGTCAAGGCTCTGTTCTTGGCCACACACGCGCTCCGCACCGCATCAGGCCAGAAATAGTCGGGTAGCCCGGCTTCAATGAGCAACCCGCGTGCCGCCTCCGTGATTGTGCGGTTCGCTCGCTCGGCGATGCCGTTCATTGCAGGGGAGTATGGCATGGTGAGGGAGTGCCGAATACCATTCTTCTTCAGCCACAACCCAAACTCCTTGCTCAGGAACTCTCCCCCTCGATTGGTGCGGATTGACTTGACTAGACGGTCTTGTTGCCGCTCCACCATCGGGAACCAATCCGTCTTCAACGTTTCAGCCACGTCGCTCTTCTTGGCCAGCACGTACACCCAAGTCATGCGGGTGTAGACGTTGACAATGGTGAGAAAATACTCAGCTCCAGCAGCTCCAAGCTTCAGGGGGCCCACCACGTCCATCACCATCTCATCAAGCGGTGCCTTTGCCGTTGCCTCCGAACTAGGGAACGGAAACCGGGTGAACTTGGCTTGAATGCACGTCGGGCAGCCAAGCACCTCATCGGGCTCCCCCTTCACACGTATGCCAGCAACCATCTCATTCTTCACTAGCTGCTGCAAGATAGGCAGGGCCACATGCCCCATGCGCCGATGCAAGGTGAGCCAATCACACTCCCCCGTAGCCGAAGTTGGATTGGAGAATGCCGCGCTCGCAATAGCGCCCCACATACTCTCTCCGTAGTCCTCCTCCGCTGCTGCCTCTGGGTTCTCCTCACCCTTTTGCTGCTCCTTGGTTGCTGCACCACTCTCCTTAGGTTCACTGAACTTGCTGGTCCCTCCAGGTTTGCTCTTCTTGAGCTCATTCTCCTTAGCGCGACCGTTCGCGCCATCGTCGCTACCGACCGCTCCATCCTTGGTGCTGATGCTTGCTGCCACTTGCCTCTCCTTAGGCATAGGGACCACTGGGATCTGCCACATCTCGTTGTAGACATCCCTGTCCTCATGAAGGTCCCAAAGAATTCGATCGCCAAGCCTTGCGGTGTAGGTCTTGGCTCCCTTCGAGTTCGTGTCCATGCCGGCCTTTGCCAACCGCCGCACGGAAATCAGGTTTGCAGCAAGGCTGGGCACCCAAAGCACGTTCTTGAGGCCCACCATCTTCCCATCAGCACCCTTGAACATGGCCTTGCCCATGCCTTTCACCTCTGCTCGCTGCCCCAAAGCCGATGTGACATGCTTCACCGGTGACGGCTCGAGTTCGGTGAGCAAGTCCGGGCGAGGTGTCATGCTATAGGTAGCGCCACTATCAATCACCCAATAGTCCAGGGGGTGTAGGGTCACCTTCCCCACAGCTGCTGGCTCCTCAAAGCCTTCATCCTTCTCAGGACCAGCCGGTACTTGCGTCGACACGAAGTAGAATAGACCCGGGTATCGATCGTCGCTCGGGTCCTTGTCGTTGTCTCCGCTCTTCATGTTTGCAGCTCCGCCACCGCGACCGCCACGGCCTCCACGGCCTCGTCCTCTCCCTCCTCCTGCTCCTCTACCCTCTTGGCCTTGAGCAGGGGTCCAACCATCAGGGAGTTTGTAGCAGTCGCGCCACATGTGTCCGCTCTTGTGGCAATAGTGACACTCGCCGTCGAATCGGCCGCGACCGCGTCCGTAGCTCTTGTCGTCGCTGCCGTAACCGCCACTCCTGCGGCCTCCGCCGAAGTTGCTGCCACCAAACCTTCCTCCCCCTCGTCCTCTGCCTCTTCCTCGACCATATCCACGGCCGATGCTCGCTGCCCCAGCGCCATCCGCACTCGCCAACTCACGGCGGCGGACATCCTCTTGAAGGATAGCTCGCTTCACGTCTTCAAGCGAGAGGCGGGGCAAGTCGCGATTAAGGTTGATGATGAGCGAGGACCATGACTCTGGGAGTAAGGCCAGCAACTTGGTCTTCTTTTGGAGCTCACTGTAGTTCAAATCAGCTCCCTCAAGCCGCGTCAACAAGTCGAAGAATTTCTGCACCCCTTCTTCAACCGCTTCGTCTTCTTCAATTCGTAGTGCCGCCATTTGCCGTTCCAACACCACCGCTACCGCCGCTGTTGCAGGAGCATGTACACCCTTGAGAGCAGCCCATGCCTTTGGTCCTTTCTCTGGTTCACGCTGGAATGGCTTGATGTGACGGATCTGACTGCTCCCCAACGCTTGCCCAAGTAAGAGATAGCCTTGTGCGCTCTTCCGCACCCACGGGCTCTTCTTCGGGTCGTTCTCGGGGCGCTTCTCCGTTCCTTCCATCACCTCCAGCAGGTCATAGTGGTCAAAGATGTTCTCCATCTTGAAGGACCATTCAGCAAAGTTGTCACCGTTGAACTTGTCAAGCCCAAACACCCTAGGCTCATCCCTAGGTGGGCCAAGACTTGGTTGCATGGGCGCCATGGCTGAATCACGGGGTTGGCCTTGAGCTTGAGCTTCTCCACTGCTACCAGCACCTCTGCCACCCCTTTCCTCAGGTCCAAACATTGTCGAAACTGCTCCAAGGGGCTCTGATACCACTTGTTATAGTCACAATAGGCT